AACGCTCGAATGATTACATCCACCTGTACTGAACTGGTCCACCGAGCTCTGCTTCGTGAGGGAGATGAACAGGAAGATGTTCTATAATATCAAAAAATGATGGCGGGAAGATCTTTTCCAAATTGCACAACAAGATTGGAATATTCGATGTCATTTGTGCTATTACATCAACTGACAATGTTCGTGTACTAATATCCCGAAAAAAAAGCACCAATGCCTCCAACAGCTCCATGGACATTTTTGGGCAAGAGTTCAGCAAATGCAAATGAAAATAATCTTTGCATAAACACGTGGCAGTCATGACTTTTCATCCCTGCAAACTTTACCCCCTTTCAACAGATTTAGAAAGATTAGAAACATACCCATCATGAAACTTAACGTTAGATGAAACCCATTTGAACAATGATGACTTTTGATCTGCACTCAACCAAAATACAGGAACTGGTGCTTTCCCGTTTCTCAGTATATGCAACTCACTTCTGTTGCATAAATCAGGCAAGTCCAATCTTGACTTACCATTTTCTTTTGTTCTTCCCGTTACGTTCATACCTGTATGCATGATGTTATCAAAAAAGTTTTTCTCAATGTGCATTACATCAAGATTGTGTCTGAGCAGATGATCTTTCCAATAGGGTAGTTGCTAAAAGATATTTTTCTTGTGTCAATTATGATGAACTCCATAACCTTCAGTTTGCAGAAGTGTGCCAGTTTCCCCCTCGCGTTACTGCTGCTCCCCAATGCTTGATTTGCGCATGTATATCAGCTCCTGTTAAATTTATGTGGAGGAACATGTACACTTTTGTTCTTCCTAAATAACATCTTGTTCCTCCGATATGGATGGTTATCCGGTAAAAACCTCCAGTGACAATCAAACCAACATGTTTTTCTACCATGTTTTAGCTGAAACGAATCAGTTCGATGAAGACAATAATGACAAGATAACCCCTCATGTGTAGTCCATCCTGATAGCATACCATAAGCGGGAAAATCGCTTATTGTCCACATAAGCACAGCCCGCATAGTAAATTTTTTTCCCTTTTGAACAGTCATATGTGCGAACGCCGGTATACCATAACTGATTCAACTCATGTATGAGTGGCTGCAAAAATACATCGAGAGCTCGCTTTGGATGATTGGGACCTGGAACCAAAATACTAAAGAAAAGAAATTCCCTTTGCATGCACAAATCTGGAGGAAGGTTATAAGGGGTTAGGATTACTGGCCATAATGAATATTGTCTACCAGACATACCAAATGGACTAAAACCATCAGTGCACAGACCAAGATAGACATTCCGTTTGAACTTAGCAAAATCTGGCTATACCGTATTGAAGTGTTTCCATGCCTTTTTGCATCTGATGGATGAACAACTTCTCCATCTACTTGTGTATGTTCTGCATGCCATCTCATTGATGCAGCTGTCCTTTCAGATTGATAAAGCCGTTTCAACCTATCAGTTATAGGGAGATACCACATACGTTGGTACGGTATCCTTTTACGCCCATCAATTTGCGGCATGTATCTTGATTTTTGGCAAAATCGACATTCCTCCAGCTGATAATCATCTTTCCAAAAAATCATACAATCGTCAACACATACATCTATCATCTCAGAAGGTAGACCAAGACTAAAAATCAACTTCTATATTTCATAGTATGTTGCCGCTGCCAAGTTATCCTCCGGTAGATACTCTTTCAGAAGATCAGCCCAATCATCCATGCAAACCTCAGCTAGGATATGATCTGTTTTAATTGACATCATCCTAGCTGCCAACGATAATTTAGACAGACCTTCTCTACATCCTTCGTAGATTGGCTGATTAGTATTGTCTAACAAATCATAAAATCGTTTGGCATCCACATTAGGTTCCTCAACAGCATTTACAGTATGCGTTTCATGAAATGCATCAGTCACCATCTCATGCATTCTATCATGATCTAGACCTTAATCTGATTGATACTGATTAGGCTGATGACCATAATTCGATTCATCAAAACCAACATGACTTTGATAATTACTACTACCAGCATTCCCATGAGTATTACTGTCATATATCCTTCTCCATGTAGATACAAACAAAATATTGCGGCATAAACCTTCTATTTAATAAATACGTCCACACGGTTTTGGTTACTGTATACCTCGTATTCTTGCATTTCAAACAATGACAAAACATCTTCCCGCTATATTTGCCATGATTTTTAAACCGTCGTAACAGACCGTTGGAAAACGATTGTTTTTTTTGTAATAACATTGTCTAGTACATATATTTTTTTCATATATGCATTCTCTCATAGATCTCGTATATTACCCCGTACAATTATCTGTAGTTTATCCTTTCTTCAAGAGCGTTATTATATTGTATGATTTTTTTTCTTATATATGCACATTCTCATAGATTAGCTAATATTCACATAATGATGATTTCATTGTCTCGTATATTTTTTCTCATATATGCATTCTGTCATAGATTAAAATTTTTTCCCATATTCTTATAATGATGATTACATTCTCTCGTAGATTTTTTCCTAAATACGTATTATCTTATAAATTAGAAAAATTTTCCCTAGAATTTCGGCTTATATTACTATTATTTAAGACTTGCAATTTTAGCCCACAAAATTTTATACGGCCATATTCATTAATGTATAAAGTTTTGTTTTATAATATCTTGCAAATAAAAGTTCACATGTAATATCTTAAGATTCATTTCTATAAATGCTTACTCAAATAATAATATAGAGATAAGATTCTTCTCACTATCAACTAGTAGTTATTAGTAAACTTTTCAAAGACTATTTAGGTGTTAAAAAATATGTATAACCAATGTTGTATACTACTAATTACGTAAGTAAATATGTATGACTTATTGGATGATTCTATTAGTTTGTTTGTAATTTAATACAAATAAGCAATTTTTCCTTCAGAAGGATCCTAGAATTATATTTTGGTTGTAACTCTCATCCGTTATAAAACTGTTTCATCTTGCTTCATTCCATTTTTTGGGTAAGTGTATCAGGGTAAGTTGTATGGGTGTTTTTTGGTTATTCTTTGCAACGGTAACCTCTTCCTTTTTGGTATAAAATCTTAACATTAAACCAAAACAAAAAGCACTTTAAAGTCTACAAAAAAAAAAAAAAAACAAAGCATCATCAAGACTAATCTTACTGTCATCTCCAAAGACTTTTTTTCCATATTTTTTCGTTTTTGGTATAAAATCTTAACATTAAGCCCAAAAAAATAGAAGAAGCGATTTAAAGGCTACAAAAAAAAAAAAACATCATCAAGACTAACCTTACTGTCATCTCCAAAGATATAGATTGTTTTCCATATTTCTTCTTAGCATATGACAAACCCAATCTTGATTTGGCAATTCTCAAATCACCAATCACGTATAAGCTAAGATAACACATAGACCTTTGAAATCTCAGTGTTGGTCGAACTTTGTTGCACTAAACCATCTATGCCTGCCTTATACTAGAAAAGAAACCTTATATTCTCCTTTGTATTTTAGGCATCATCTTAATTGCCTTGTAACGTCTATATTGTATAGCTGGTGTATATAACTTTGGGGGAATACAATAAACAGATCATCGATTGAGATTATACTTAATCTAATATGGTATCAGAACCATTGTTCTACCTAAACTCTCAGCCGTTATTCTTCTCTATTCTCTATGCATTTTTTTCTACAATTCCCAAACTTATCTTTTGCTTCCTTTCTTTCTTTATCTTTGTTCTCTGATATTCTCACAAAGTCTCTTTCTCTTTTACTTCTCTTCTCTCTCTATCTTTTTTTTTTTGTTTCATAACAATGGCTGTGACAGATCAAGAACTTACTTTCATTCTGTAACTGCGACACCAGCGACATTCTTGTATCACATTTCGCCAATGATGGTTCCCTCTTGTGGGACATGTTCGATATACCAAATGATGATCTCAACAACAACATCGACAAGAAATTCCTAGAAAAGACTGGTAATGGCAATGTTAACAATATCGGCGAAAGCAATAGGCTTGAATTGGGTACGAACTTTGAAACATGCATGTCTCAAAATTGGTAACCACCAGTTTCAAAGTTCGTACCCAATTCAACTCTATCGCTTTCTCCAGCATCGTTACCATTACCATTACCAGTCTCAATCTTATTGTTGATCCTGTCATTATGAGATCATCACTTGGAATATTGAAAGAACCAGGCAAAATGCGATACAAGCATGTCGTTGGTATCGCAATTCGAGATTGAAAGTGAGAGTTTTGAAACAATGCATTGTGGTTTTCAGGAACTTGTGGTTGTCACTTGTCATTGTTTTTGCTTACAAATGTCCAATTCGGTTTACACCGAACTAAACCATAACCGTATTGACCAATTCGTTTCTTTTTTCATTTAATACAAACAAACCCTTTTTTAAAAAAGGATCCAAAAACCAAATCAAAACTAAATTGAAAACGGAGTTTGCACACTTCTATTGTTTTCTCCAATTTGAAATGGAGACAATCATCCTAAACAAGATTAGCTCAAAAAAAATTTTGATCACGATTTTGTACATCGTTCAAGATTTTTTGTCAAAGAAAAAAAAAATCCGTTGTATAAAAAAGCTTTGAGGATAAAGTTAAGCATCTATTTATTTTACTTACAAAAGTAAAACCTGAAGTTGTGGATATGATGATCTCTTTGAAACCCAAAGAGAAGCTCATTCCGGTTTTCAATCATGTGGTTGCTCCAAAGATACGGATTCGCTGCTGAACCAAAGCTCTTAGAGTAATTTAGGTAGGTTGTTAGATGATATGAGAACCGATTCTTGCTTAGAAAAAATCAGATAATAAAAAAAAAGAAAAGATTTTAATAATATTTACATATTCAAGAATTAGAAAAGGAAACACGAGCAATTAGACATAAACGGCAAAACAGATGAACCAATCACCAAGAACTGAATTTTCCCAAAATTGTATTCACATTAAAGGAATCAAAAAACAAAACAAAAAAAAAGACTCGGCAAAATCTTGTTTTCTTGGTTGAATCAAGAACGAACAATGGTCTCAAAGCAATGAATCCCATCGAGCTCTAAAGCAAACCGCGGTTGTTTCGTCGCTGAATTGGCAGCTTTTTCATCTTTCTTGAGCGAAGACGCGATCTGACCGCCGGCGCCGGAAGGAGCAGAGTTCTTGCGTTTAGAGCGGTTGCAGACATAAGACACGGAGGAATCAGCCGTAAATTTCTTCCCCATAATCTCTGCACACATGGCGTCGAATGCACTGAACATCGAATTCATTATCACGAGAGTTGAGAGAGAAATAGAGATTGAAATTGGAAAACTTGAAGAAGATCTTTGTTGGGTTTCTTATGAAGAAGAAAAAAGGTTTCGTTTTTTTTATATATATTCAAAGTTTATAAAGACGCGACGAAACTTGGCCGTGTTCGATAAGGAAAGCGAAGAATCCGAGTTGGATCCGAATTTATAACATATTTTTTATTATTATTGGGAAGAGAGTTAAAATGTTGCTACAAGGCAAGTGTTGGTGGGTTTAGTGCAACAAAGTTCCACGAACAATGTGATTTCAAAGGTCCATGTGTTATCATAGCTTATACACAAGACAAGTCTTTCAAGTTTGGTGGAAGTACTGATGATTATTATGACACATTCAGGCTTTCCTTTTCAATTGGCTCAATGCGATGACCCAGTCATCCTTCCAAAAGTTGGAGGAAGCGGAGCGGCTCTATTTGATTATGCACGAGGAGGGCCTCCATTTGGAGCTGATGGGCTTCTTATTGGACCGCCTTTTGCTCCCGTGATGGGCAGGTTGCGGGTCTGGATAGGAACTCGGGAATTGGTGATTTGAGGATAGCTAAATCAAGATTGGGTTTGTCATATGCTAAGAAGAAAGATGGAAAAAAAATCTATCCTTGGAGATGAGAGTAAGATTAGTCTTGATGATGTCTTTGTTTTTTGTAGCCTTTATACTGCTTCTTTGTATTGAATTACAAAGAAATCACACAAAAAAAATTCAAAAGAGAAACTTGATTTATTTAGTTTACCGATTGAATTTTCTTTTGGTATTCAATGGTATTACGTGAAACTAGCTCACCAGAGGTTTTTCAGATATTGAGAGAAACAATGTTGAGGTTTCTTGTGACGCAAGTGAGAAGCTACCATGCAGAGGGTTCTTGTGACGCAAGCAACATACTATTCTCCTGATATCATCCTTGAAACATCACTTAAGGTTAATTAACCATTCAGATACTTCAATTACGATGAAGGTCCCATTAACCGAATATATCAAAGCAACTGTGTCTCAAACTTCAATACACTTTTTTATCTGTTGGGCAGGGAAATTCACAATTACGTTTTCCAAGTATTTGAACTACCGAATTCGAATATCCACCATAGTTATTAGCAGATTTGAATTTCAACTGTGAGATGGAGAGATCATTTGCATTTGATAATTATCAAGAAGCTCATCCTATGAACAATGAGGTCATGATCATGTTCCGTGGTAAAACAACAATATAATTCACTAGATGTATCAAGAGTCAAGATCAAACTAAAATCCCATTTTTCTGTGCGTACAGATGTAGTGTATATAGTTACATATTATTAAATTTAAAACTATAAGATTCTCCTCACTATCAACTAGTAGGTATAAATAAACTTTTCAAAGACTGTTTAGATGTTAAAAGTATGTACGTATAATCAATGGTGTATACCTATTAATTACATAAGTAAAGATGACTTATTGGATGATTATATTGATTAGTTTGTAATTTAATACTCCCTCCTTTCTTTATATGTGATGTTTTAGCTAAAAGCACAAAGATTAAGAAAATTACTTTTCTTTAAAAAAAATATCATTTAATATTTAAAGTAAAAATAGTTCAACCAATCATAAAAAAACTGCATAGTATTATTGGTCACACAATATCCAATAAAGATAAAATTTGCATAGAAATGTAAAACATCTTATATTATGAAAAAAACAAAAAAAAAAAATCTTCCAAAACATCTTATAAATTAAAACAGAGGGAAAACAAAGAAGCAATTTTTCACTCCAAAAGATAGCAACATTCCTCCTCTCCTAGAATTATATTTTGGTTGTATCTCTCATACGATATGAAACTATTTCATCTTGCTTCGTTCCATTTTTTGGGTAATATAAGGGTAAGTTGTATGTGTGTTTTTTGTTTTGTAACGGCAGCAACCTCTTCATTTTTGATATAAAATCTTAACATTAAACAAAAAAAGAAGAAGCAATTTAAAGGCTACAAAAATATATATATATATATATATATATATATATATATCATCAAGACTAACCTTAAGGTCATCTCAAAGATAGATTATTTTCCATATTTCTTCTTAGCAAATGACAAACCCAATCTTGATTTGGCCATTCTCAAATCAACAATGGCGTATAAGCTATGATAACACATAGACCTTTGAGATCTCAGTGTTGGTCGAAATTTGTTGCACTAAACCCATCAATGCCTGCCTTATATTAGAATAAGGAAAACTTATATTCTCCTTTGTATTTTAAGCATCATCTTAATTGCTTTGTAACGTCTACATTGTATAGCTGGTGTATATAATTGTGGGGGAATACAATAAACAATAAACAATAAACAGATCATCGATTGAGATTATACCTATCAGAGCCATTTCTCTAAACCTAAATTGTCAGCCGTTCTTCTCTATTCTCTGCATTTTTTCTACAACTCTCAAACTTATCTCTTGCTTCTTTACCTTTATTCTCTGTTATTCTCACAAAGTGTCTCTCTTTTTTACTTCTCTTTTCTTAACAATGCTGCTACAAATAAAAAACTATCACTTTCAATCTCTAACTACGACACCAGCTACATTCTTGTATTGCATTTCGCCAATTATGGTTCCCTCTTTTGGGACATCTTTGATACACCAAGTGATGTTCTCAACAACAACATCAACAATAATGTCCTAAAAGAGATTGGTAATGATAATGTTAATAATGTGAAAGAAAGCGATAGACATGAATTGGGTACGAACTTTTGGAGAAATTAATTGTTAACATTATCAGGACATTGTTGTTGGTGTTGTCTGTTTAGACCATCACTTGGCAGGGCCGGCCCGTGAGCCCATAAACAATTGAACCCATAACCAGAGAGGTGAATACTGTAAGGCAAGCCACTACACTACACTACAAATCCTGAAAATTGCTACTCTTAATTTATATATAATATTTGGCGCCCAAAGCAAATGTTTTACCAGCTTTAGCTCCGAACCGGCTTTGTCACTTGGTATATCAAACATGTCCCAGGTATGGGAACCATCATTGACAAATTGCGATACAAGAATGTCCATGGTGTTTGAACGTGAGAGTTCTTAACAATGCATTGTGGTTTTCAAGAGCTTGTGGTTGTCACGTGTCATTGTTTTTGCTTAAGTGTCCAATTCGGTTTAACCAAAACTAAACTAAAACCGTATTGACCAAATCGTTTCTTTTATTTTATTTAATATAAACAAACATTTTCTAAAAAATCCAAAAACCAAATCAAAACTAAATTGAAAATCGAGTTTGCACACTTCAAGGAGGTGTATTGAACTAAACAGTTGAAGTGATTTGAGTTTTACTAAGATTTTAGATGAATTTGATGATTTTAAAGAAATTGTTTTTAAAGTTCTTTGCAATTCTACCTAAAACCATAAGATTTGGTTTTTTGTATTTCTAACTAGGAAACTCCTCCAAATCCCTTAAAATTATTAAAATACTAATACTTAAAACATTTTCGATAACACTAGATTTCATAAGACTTTTTAAAATCCATGTTTGAATAACAAATGATTTGTCACTTTAATTTAAAGTGAAAATTCCTCAGACTAGCCTTTAAGGTTGATGAAATGATAAACCTAACATAATATATTGAAAGGCTTACTAGACTAACCTTATAAAGTTGATCTTATACCATTTTATCCAGATGTTGAATATTCTTACGAAAATGCCATTTTAATTAATAAAAATGAAAAAAAATCGAATATAATTAAAATCAAAAAAATATACATATATCATTAAAGAAAAAAAAACATAATTTGCAAATTAAAAAAAAACCCTAATTTTTTTCTGGAGAGGCGATTTTGCGCTGCAGCTTCTCCTTCTCCCATTTTATCTCTTTGCAGCTTCTCTCTTTTCACAGAACCACCCAGATCTTGTCTCTCTCGCCGTTTCGAATCAGTCGTTTTTTTCTCTCTACTGGAATCATCAGATCTCATCGATTCACATCGTTTTCTCATTTTTTTTCATCGGTTTTCATTGATTCCAGGTCAAATCCAGGTAATTTTTGGCCAGAAGGCTATCGCCGTGTGTGAGGCGATTTCAGCTGTGTTGCGGCTGACGGCGGAAACAAAAATCCGTAATTTCTTTTTGTTTCCTCCGAAACTGTAACCCTAATCTTATTTTTTGCAGGAAAATTTTGGTTTCGGTGGTTTCTGTCATTCCGAAACGATTTTTGATGGGAGCAAACGATTTCTGGTGAGTGATCTTTTTTCGTAATGGTTGAGTTCAAAAGAGTGTATGGTAGACTTTTTATAGAGTTGTTGTAAAATGGTAGATTTAATTGGTTAAATGGTAGATTTGTTTGTGTTAATGTTCGATTTGTTTGGAAATTATTATGTTAGGTAGATTTCTTATCCGTGAGTAATCTCTTATCTTCATGGTTGAGTTTGAAAATGTGTATGGTAGACTTTTTTATGGAGTTATTGTAAAAATGGTAGAGTTAATTTGTTAAATGGTAGATTTGTTTGGGATCATGGTAGATTTGTTTGGAAAATATTAGGTTAGATAGATTTGTTTATGTTTGTTGGTTTGGTTTAAATGATCGTACTAGTCATGGTACGTTTTCTAGACTACCTTTCGTTTTTGGTAGATTTGTTATTGAATGTGGTCGATTTCTTTATGTTTTTGGTAGATTTGTATTTAGTTTTATGGTAGGTTTTTAAGATTTGCTTTCGTGTTTGGTAGATTTGTTTATGTCTTTGGTAGATTTGTAAGATTTGTAAGTTATTGTATAAATTGGGTATATTTGTTTTTGAACGAGGCGGCTTTGCTATAATATAACCATTTTTGAGATATGGGTTCTGCTAGCGGCGCGAAGGATTATCCACAACAACTGGACCCGGAAGGTAGACCTCCTATGAGGAAGAAGAGTGCTCATCATAACTGCAAGGTTCATAAATTCATCAATATTAGGGAGCAGTTGTTTGAGTCTGAGTGAGTGTGTAGTGTTGGTCGAGTAAAATGCTGTTGT